GTGGGTAAGCCGGCGTAGAAAAGTAAGGCCGGATACCATACTTGCTGCACAGCTCTCGGTAGACGCCACAATCAACCTGGGTGCCGTTGTCTGAGATAAGAGCTCTGGAATGCCGAATCGTGTTATGATATTTCTCTATACAAAGCGCTTAACATTAGCATCTTGAATGTGTATTAATGCCTCCGTTTCGACCCATTTTGTGAAGTAATCTGTCGCGACGATCAAGTATCTCTTGTTCCTTGGGGCCCTCAGCAATGGTCCTATGATATCAAGTCCCCATTGGGCGAACGGCCAGGGACTGGTAATGGAGCTTAAGTCTTCAACAGGCAGATATGCTAACGAGGAGAACTTCTGACACTGTTCACATTTCTTCACATAGCATTCGACATCAGCTCTTATTGTCGGCTAGTAATACCCCTGTGTTATAGCTCGATGGGCCAAAGAGTGCCCGCCAAAATGGGCACTACAACTGCCTTTATGTATTTCAGTCAGAAACTCTTCGACTTTGTCCGGGTGTACACATTCCAAGTATGGACCAGAAAAGGATTTTTTATAAACCTTTCCTTGCGGATCCAAATAGTATCGCAGGGCTTTATTTCGCAGCTTGTGCGCTTCTTTTTTGTCCGCTGGGAGCTGTTTAGAAGACAAGAATACGGCAATGGGGTCCATCCAACTCGGTCCTGGCTCTATGACATTGACCTGGATTTCTTCCGAAGGGTTGATACTCAGCTCCAGGATGAAACCTACTTCGATTGTCCGTTTAATCTTTGAGTTAATGGCGGAGGCGAGGCAAGCTAGGGCGTCTGCATGTGTGTTCTGATCATGTGTTATCTGATTCAATTCATGATGGTCAAATTTGGCAAGCAAGGCGCTAGCCGATTTCATGTAAGCCGCCATTCGGTCATTTTTGGCTGCGTACTCCCCCTTTAGCTGATTGATCACCAATTTTGAATCGCAAAATACCAGCAAACGCCGAGTGCCCAGAATGTGTGCATTCCTCAAACCGGCCAAAAGGGCTTCGTATTCGGCTTCGTTATTTGATGCTTCAAAGCCAAGTTTGATGGTCTGCTCAATTATTGCACCGTCGGGAGCCATGATTATTACTCCGGCTCCGCTACCCCGTTGATTGGATGATCCATCACAGTACAACTGCCAAATGTCTTCAACAGAAATTCTCTAGTTCGGCTTTAGTCGAATTTCATCAGACTTGAAGTCGGCAAGACCCCTGGTGAATTCAGCAACAAAGTCGGCAATCACCTGTCCTTTGATTGAGGTTCTAGGTAGAAACTGAATATCATATTGGCCGAGTTCAAGAGCCCATTTTGAAACATGTCCTGATGCTTCTGCGTTACGTAGTACTGATCAGAGGGGATAATCTGTTAGCACCCCAATGCTATGCCCTGGGAAGTAATGCATCAGCTTTCTTGCCGCCATGACTAGGGCTAGGATGAGTTTCTCCAGCGGAAGGTAAGGTGTTTCGGCGTCAACCATTGCCTTGCTCACATAATACACTGGCCTCTGCTCCCCTAGTTCTTCCTTTATCAGTACGGCGCTGACGGCCCGGTCGAAAACTACCAAATACAAAATGAGTGGATCACCGGCCGGCGGTGTTGTCAAGAGTGGGGCTAATCGGAGGTAGGTCTTGAGGCCGTTGAAAGCAGCTTCGCACTTGGTGGACCATTCAAAAGCCTTGCCCTGCCATAGTGTATGAAAGAATTGTCGGCAGCGATCCATGCAACGACTGATGAACCTGTTGAGTGCGGCGGCCATCCCCATTAACTTCTGAACTTCTTTGACCGATCAAGGGGAGCCGAGTTCTAGGATTGCTGTGATTTGCCTTGGGTTGGCTTTAATTCCTTAGTGGTTGACAATGTAACCCAAGAATTTGCCAGAGCCGATCAGAAACGCACATTTGGAAGCGTTCAGCTTCATTTTATATTTACGTAGAATGTCGAATGTCTCTTCCAGATCAGCTATATGATTCTGTTCTTCCTTGGACTTGACCACCATATCGTCAATGTACACTTCCATAGTGTGGCCGAGTTGTTCCTTGAACATGGCAGTGACCAGTCTTTGGTAGGTTGCCCCCGTATTCTTAAGCCCAACAGGCATAACCTTGTAGCAGTAAGTTCCTCTTGGGGTGAGGATTGCAGTTTTTTCTTGGTCCTCTAGATGCATGGCGATTTGATGGTAGCTTCTGTAACCATCGAGAAAGCTCATACGTTGATGGCGTGCCATCACATCTACAAGTTGGTCAATTCTGGGTAGGGGAAAACAATCCTTGGGGCAGGCTTTGTTTAGATCCGTGAAATCGACGCACGCTCACCAAGTCCCATTTTTTTTCTTCATAACTACTGTATTAGAGAGCCATGTAGGGTAGGTCACTTCCCTGATTGCCCTGGCTTCAAGCAGCCTGTCAACCTCCTCAACAACGGCGGCAGTGTGCTCTGCGACTGGCCGCCAGCTTTTCTGAATGATCGGCTTGCACTTAGGGTCAACATTCAAACGGTGCTGTGAAACGGACGGATCTATACCCGACATCTCGTATGGAGTCCACGCAAAGACATCAAAGTTGCTGAGCAGGAAAGAAATTAGCAGCTGTCTATCGGCTTGATTCAGGGAGGCGCCGACCATGAAGAACTTGTCTAGGCTTCCGTAGATTTCAACTCAGTCTAGGCCTTCTGTGGCCTTTTCACTCGGGGGCCATCCAACATCGTCGAGGCTCTCCCGATCCGGCACTTCAATGGAATTGGCTTGCAACTCCTTTGGCGTCTTTCCAGCGAGGATATAACATGCTTGTACTGATTTCTAGGAGCCACAGATTTGCTCAATGCCGCGTTCTGTCAGGAAGCATAGCAGCTGATGGTACATACTCGGCACGGCCTGCATGGTGTGCAACCAAGTCTTCTCCATAATGAGATTGTACGGCGATGGTAGCTTGACGGCCAAGAATTCTACATTCACTGTTCGGGAACCCGCTCGAATGGGTAGTGTGATTTTCCCCAACGGGTACTTTGGATTGGCGTTGAAGCCGAATAGTGGATAAGGGCCCGGGAAGAGATCCGATTCAGAGAAGCCGAGTTTGGTGAATGTCTTGTAGTACATAACCTCCGATGTGCTCCCTGGATCAATGAGTACGCACTCAACTGTGAATCGGTTTATGCGTAACTCGATTACCAAGGGATCGATGTGGGGAAGTGTCACTCCGGCCAAATCTGAATCATCAAAAGCATTGCTCCCAGCTTCGTGGGGTCGTTTAGCTAGAGTGGGTTGAGCTTGAGGGTCGGGATTTGACTGAATAGTATGCACCATGGATGACATCAGCAGGCTGTATATCATGTGGATCACGCCGAGTGGAGGAGAATCCTGTCTTAAGGCTATTGCTTTGGTTGAGTTGCCTTTTCGGACGTATTGTTGTAGCCAACCATCTTGTACCAATTCTTCCAAGTGATCCTTCAATGCATAACAACTCTCAGTATCATGGTCATGGTCCTTGTGATACTCTCACCGTCTATTCCGTCTCCTCATGTCGGGAGGTCCTACCATTTTGGACGGCCATTTGAAGAATGGAAGGTGTTGGACTTTGGGCATAACCGTGCTAATTGGCTCTGTCAACTTTGTATATTTCTTGTCGGCGCGCTTCGTGCGCCTGCTATCAACTTGCAGTTGTTCATTTGCTCGGTGGGAGCATTGGTCGCTTAATCGGCGGGAATCCCGTCTCTTGTCTCGTTTAGCCCGATGCCGTGGTTCAGGGCTCTGAGATGCTACAACATTTATTGGTTGAGCAATTTCAGAAGGGGCCGTCTTGTTAGCCATGTTTTCAGCTTTAACTCGCAATGCGTCATCCTTCACTTTGTAGTATTCCTCAACTTTCTTCATTAACGACCAGACTGTTTTATGGGGCCTTCTAGCCAAGGAACTGCGGAGAGCACTGTCAGGATGCAAACCTATTTTGAAGGCGGTGATGGCCATGGAATCGTTGCAAGCATCATCAACAAGATTAAAGCACTCCCAATAACGTGTCGAATACGCTCTTAGTGTTTCTCCTGGCTGGATCTGTATTGCCCAGAGAGAGTCGGCTTGTTTCGGCTGGACCTCGTTGGTGATGAATTTGGCCCTGAAGGATTTCTGTAATTGATGGAAGCTTTTGATTAAAGCCGGCTCCAGTTTATAATACCACCTAACAGCCAATGGTCCCAAACTGTTGGGAAATATTCGGCATATAAGGGCCTCGTCGTCTGCATGTAATGTCATGGCTTGCTTGTAGTGACGGATGTGATCGGTGGGGTCTGATTTTCCATCATAGAGAGTGTACGACGGAGTTTTGAACTTTTTGGGCAGAACCGCCCTGGCGATTCGTCGTATAAAGTGATCATGCTGGTCATCTTCATCTGAGCTGTTTCTCCTGCGCTTATACCTTATACGTGGACTCTCTTCAGAGGAACTGGAAGTTTCAGATCGTCCCTTCTTCTTGGGCTCTGGGGATAATGAGTCAGAGTTGCTATCAGTGTCTTGTTGTCGAGCTCGAGATCGTCGACCACCTGCCCTCACAGGTCGTTCCGGATCTTGGCGTACAGCTTGTTTGGACTTCGCCACTTCCAAGGCCAAATCCTGACGGCGACATTCGTTCTCAGCGATCATGTTCTCCAACCTCTGTTCATTTTGTTTTGCTTGTTCCATGATCGCTTGCATTGCCTCATGCTCTGAAGTCGAGGGTGAGGCAAAGTTCAAAGCGCGTCTTGCGGGGATAGTCTCCGGTCCAAGCATGTTTGTTGGAGTGAGGTCATCTCTCTATGTGGTTTCATAAGTGACTATCGGAGGGTCTTCCGTTACGCCCGCCATGGATGTGTTTGAGTATTCCCACAGACGGCGCCAATTGTGGAGAAATGGTTTGGAAATACTCTTCTGATCCTAGGGGACGCTCGTGATCCTCTGCTAGTCACCTGAAAAGGAATAAACACTTCGGTCGGGGATGTCGGAATCAGCACTCCGACGGGCAAGTCAGTCTCTACACTCAAGATTACTTGTATTCTAAGTTAAGCATAATAGTTCTCACATACCTTTCTCTGACTGATGATCCCATATTTATAGTATTCTCTTTGGGCCTTAAGGCCAGGCCCATCCATGATCCTTTACACGTACTTCTACTCGGCCTTTACTCTACTGGCTGGAGTGCCGATTATTTCTATTCGGCTCTTCGGTTGACTAGGATAAAAGCTGAATAGAAGTTACGTTCCGGACCGGACGGGTTTATTCGTCCCTATTGATTCAGTAATATTCGGCTCCCATAACTTGATATTCATCAAGCATAACAGCCTACCAAGCAGAGGATTTGGCCGCCTCTTAATAAGTCTGTGGTTCATAAGTATCAATGGAAGCAAGAAAACAGGAAGTATAGTGGGCTTTAGACCTGGTAACTATAGGATGAACATTAAAAGGTAGAAGGCAAGGAAAATCAATGAAAATAGAGGAAATAGGAATAGTGGGAGTTGGTGCTGCTAAGATAGGAGCTGGGTCTGGAGAATAAGAAGCTGGTTCTGTAGGAGATAATGTTGTAGGAGTATAAAAGAGTGTAGGTGTAGCTGGTATAGAAGTAGAAGTAGAGGTTGTATGTGCTGTTGAGATAGGTGCAGGTGTAATAGACTAGAAAAAAATGAATAACTGAGGAAGAGCATGTGCAGGAAAGGAGGTAACTGTGGACAGTTTAAAAGAAAACAAATTTTCATCAAAGATAACATGCCTAGACACATAAATCTTACCTGTGCTTGGATCAAGACATTTGTAGCCTTTAATAGAAGGTTGATATCCAATGAAGACAAATGGAAGAGATCTTGGTTGAAGTTTATGTGAAGTGTATGGTCTAAGCCAAGGATAACATCTGCACCCAAAGGATCTAAGAAACTTGTAATCATGTTTTTGTTTGAACAAAACCTTAAATGGAGTAAGATTTTGAAGTTTGAGAGTAGGAAGTCTATTGATCAAAAATACAAAAGTTGCAAGATGTTGAAACCAATACTGCAAAGGAAGGGATGAATGATGCATAAGAGTAATGGTAGTTTCAATAAGATATACGTGCTTCCTCTCTGCTACACCATTTTGGGCAAGTGTATATGGACAAGTCAACTGATGTTCAATGCCCTTAAGTTTTTGAACCTAATTGCTTAGGCATTCTCCTCCATTATTATTTCTTAAAATTTGAAGTTTGGTGTGAAACTAAGTTTCAACAAAAGCTTTGAATTCCAAAAATTTAGTAAACACTTCACTCTTGTAATGTAAAGGAAAAAGCCAAGTAAATTTACTAAAATCATTAATGAAACAACATAGTATTTAAAACCTGAAACTAAGGCTGAGAATGGATCCCAAACATCAGTATGAATAAGAGCCAATGATTTATTTTCAGTAGAGTTAGACAATGTGAAAGGCAATCTATGACTCTTAGACACACAACAATGCTCACACAAACTGGTATTATTCTTAATAGATAAAGAAAAATAACCTAAGTGATGACGAGTCATAAGGTGATGAAGCTTCTTGGAGGAAGGATGACCAAGTTGAAAATGCCAATTTGGAGTAGAAGAGGAACTGGTGGAACAAGAGTAGTATACTTGAGATGTGGATGCAACAGATGAATGTGATAGTATAAAGGGATAGAGACCATTAGCATAGCAGCCTTCATGTGGCACCTTCTGAGTATTCTTGTCTTGAATAATAAAGGAATTATTATCAAAAGTAAAAATACAGTTGTTATCAACAGACAACTGATGAACAAAGAATAAATTAGAAGAAATAGAGGGCACACGTGGCATTTTAGTAAGATGAAAAGGAAAATTAGGTGTGGAAAGGAGTCCTTTACCAGTACGAGTGATAGGCAAAGTTGTGCCATCACCAATAGTAACTTGATCACTGCCTGGATATAGTTGATAGTAAGAAAGGTTGGATAGATCATTTGTCATGTGACTTCACTCCAAGAATTTGCACATTTGGCGACCACTTTTGGCAACTAAACAAAATTTAGTCGTCAAAAAGTTGACTTGGGCGACTAAAATGTGTATTAGTCGGCGATGGTACTGTTTTTAGCTCTAAAATTTTTTAGTAGTGAAATATTATTTATTGGCGACTAAATTACCTTTTTGTCGGCAAAAGTGACACTTTTATCGACTAAAAAATTTATTAGTCGCCGTTAGTCTCAATTTTAGGTTACTAATTTTTTTTAGTTGTTATATATGAATTTTTACCTACAAAATAAATGTTAGTAGCAAAAAACAGGTATATTTTTTTGGTTAATCTTTAGTGACTAAAAAATTTAGTGGGCAAATACAAATTTTTTCCAACCAAGTGGAGATTTAGTTGCCAAATATACATTTGGTGACCAATAAAATAGTCACTGTTTATTTTCCTATGGCTACAAAATCGGATAGTCGCCTATAATAACACTTTTGCCAACAAAAATTTCTTTTAGTCGCTAAATCTTCAAAATTTTTAGGGCGCGCGCACAGACTCTTTTAATGCTGCCCGCCCCTTTCTCTGTTACACACAACAACATTCAAACCTCAAAATCAGACACCAAACCAAAGAGACAAACACCTCACCGCAGCCCACCGTACGGAAGACATTGCCATGGCTACGACCATGGCCACCACCGCAAAGTACCACCGGCACAACCGTAGATCTCAGGTTCTCCCTCGCTCGCTCTCTCAATCTTGGTGTGTCTGTCTATCTATCTCTCTCTTCCTCGCTCGCTCTCTCGCTGTTGGTGTGTCTGTCTGTCTATCTCTCTCTCGCTCATAGTCTCTCTGTCTGTCTGTCTCTCTCTCTCTCTCTCTCTTTCTCTGCATCTGTTTCCCCCTTTTCTGATTGTGGCTTTAGGATTTTATATGCTTGATTTATACTCGATTCAGTTGGTTTATATGCTTGATTCAGTTGGTTTATTCTCTCAATCTCGCTCTTAGCCGAACCCATTTCAATACATCATTGTCTTGGTTTATATGCTTGATTCAGGTGCATTTACTGCTCATTTTTGAAATGGGTTTGTCCATATCATGACTGTCCCCCAAACCAGAGTTAAGAATGTAATCTTAGCAGTGATTTTTTCATTGCAGAGGAATTAATTTAGGACCTAAACTAGAGTTCTGAAATGGGTTTGTGCATTTACTGCTCATTTCTGAAATGGGTTTGTTATTAGTATTGTTATTATTATTATTATACACTTTCAAAGAAACACCTGATATGGCTGAAAAAAATCAAGGATCAGCATTATTGCCTACATTACCCCTGTTTACCCTATCTAACATTTCGTTTTCTTTTTTTGTTAGTGTACACAGGCATATGCAAGAAAAAAAAAAAAATACACAAATAAAACAAATAATCCTGCCAAACTCCTAATGGGATGGCAGGAAGTGGCATCAAAGATAGAAATATGATCTTCACCATATTCATATCTACTAATATGCAATTATTGTGCAGTACGTGCTTGAATATGGTTATCATACATACAATGAGAAAATGTACCAGAAAGGTGTATGTTTTCTTTAATTATCTTCCGTTTTTTTTTTTTTTTTGGAGTGCACATAGAGGAGAGGATTTGCTAAGAAAGGACTGGAACAGTAATTAGGTTATTACATTTTAAAAATAAAATAAAAATTCATGCATCATAGAAATCTCATGAGTTAGCTTCTCACAAATTACTCATATCATATCTATGTTCCTATTTGTAAAACAAAAATATTTTCATATTTTCAACCTCTCATTATTTTCATATATTTTTTATTTTTATTTTTTAAAACAGAAAATATTTTTTGAAGAACTTATAAATATGATAAAAAGATTTTTGCTCATTCTTTTTTACCTCTCTCCTTGTTTACGTTCTACTTGTATAGTCCAAATTGTTAGTTGTTTCACCCTAACTTTTGAATACAATCTCTAAAGCATGTGCTGCCAAATTTTAATCTATGTTACAAATAAGTAAAAACTAAAAGATAGGCGGAAAAGATGTACAAGAGTTGGATGATGGTAAAAGATACGCAATTCCATCTTTAAGGTCAGGTAGGCCATTATGCTATTACTTCTTCAATGTTACAAACCTATGGGAAAATCAATCTCAATTTCAATTTCAAGAGTTTTCAAATTAACTCCATCTACTTAAGCGTGTCTTTGTCCCATTATTGTTTCCAAAGGTGGTCAATGTTGAAGCACAAAAGGGTTGTTCATGCAACCTAAGGTCCATGGAAAGAAAGGTTTTGTCACTTTTTTATAATGTATATGAATAGGCATTTAGAAAGTTAAAACTATAGACTTAAAAGCAGAAACAAAAGTAGTTTGATTTATTAATATATTCTTCTCTTTCAAAAGTGGTTTCATGGATTGGGTGCTTGAGATACTGTGACTGAAATTTGGTACGGAATATTTTTTAGGTAATGTTAGTCGTCTTCCGCAGTTGGATCCTGATCAAACCCTCAAGCTAAAGAGCAACTTACTATGCTAACACTGGCTGAGACAGACAAGGTATTTGTTTTTAAACTTTCAAATGTTTTTAACTTGTTTGTTGACTTAAATTGATGGTTAATTGTTTGAAATATATTGATTCACTTGTTTGATGAGTGATCTTGGTAACTTCAGTGTTTGAGTTAAGGGAAGGACTACTAAAATTTGCCGTTTTCAGAACTACATGGTGCTTATTTTTCGAAGCTTGGGTTTCTATTTGCAATGTAATTATCACTTTGCTAGCAAAACCAATTTGATTAGCTTGTGGCTGGCATAGCCAATCAAAATCTGTAGCATGCATTTTCACAAGGGTGACTCATCTCATTGTTAGAGAAAGATGGTCATGCTTTTGTTACTCTGTACTGTGTTGGAATTTTTAGAGATGTTAAATTGTTAGTTCTCTTTGGAGTTGAATGAAATGTTAAATTCATTGACTGATTGATAGAACTTATTGGTCAATTTTGTATATGGCATATACAAAGTAAAAGATTAGTATTTCAAGATTTCTTTCGATGAGTTCCATACATTGTATATTATTAGAATGTAGAATATACTGCCCTACCAATACAAACTACAAATACACGTGATCATTTTTTTTTGATTTTCTTGTTGTGTGCATGTATGTGGTAGGTAATCCATCTTTGCTTCCTCATCTGACAACATGCTAGTTTTGAGATATACTACCACCCAACAAAAAATCTGCTTAATTGCCAATAGGGCAAGGCAGAAGTGGTGGTTTACCTCTCTCTATCTGTCTCTCTTCTTTAAATCTATGTTTTTGGGGGTGTTCACTTGTGACCTGGACAGAAAATATTTATTAGTTTAATAACACTTCGATTCGTGCCATTATTTTTTTGTTTTTGTTTTCAGTGACAAAACTGGTGATCTAGGTTTTGAAAGTGTCTCAAGCTCTGGATGATGACACTTCATTTGGTGTTGTACAATTATTACTTTGCTTTACAATGTTATTAAGAATAGCTAGGTCAGTTGCATCACTAGAGGCATTGTCTCATCTCACTTAACCTCTTGGTTGGTTGTAGAAGGTTTATATTAGATTGGAACACTTTGTCTATTGCTTAGATGCAAATTCAACACATTAGCAGTCCATGATTGTCATAATTTGTGGCAAAACTAAAACAAAGGTTGCAAAATTTAGACTTGCCTTATAAGGACTATTCATATTTACTTCATATGCATGGAAAAACTTCCCTTCTACTAATTGAAATTAGCTTTTTTTAGACTGTCTGGCTAAGGCAACTAATTAATTTTGTTGTCTGTACTTTAAATCTGGCATGCATATAAGCCTTTTAAGATATTTGAATTGTCTAAGGCATCACAGCACCCACATATCAAAACAAACCCAATTTCCAAACAGCCCCTGAACCACCGTACGGATGTCATGACCACCTTCCCCATGACAAATAGGACCTGTAATAACAGACGGAATGCAATTAGCACGTATAGATTGGGAGTTACAGCCAAAAACGCTTTAAACTTAATCGAAAAAGGGCGTTAAGAGGGTGAAAATGCAAAACAGCCCCCAAACCACCGTACGGATGTCACAACCAGCTTCATCACAACAAATAAGACTTGTAACAACAGACGGAATGTAATTAGCACGTGTAGGTTGGGAGTTAGAGTAAAAATCACCATAAACTTAACTGAAAAAGGGCGTTAACAAGGGGCAAAATCGAAAACAGCCTCCGAACCACCGTATGAATGTCACAAACAGCTTTCCCATGGAAAATAGGACCTGTGACAACAGATAGAAAGTAATTAGCACGTGTAGATTGGGAGTTAGAGCTGAAAACGCGATCAACTTAACTGAAAAAGGGCATTAAGGGGGCGAAAATGCAAAACAACCTCTGAACCATCGAACGGATGTTGCAACTAGCTTTCCCATGTCAAATAGGACCTATGACAATAGAAGGAATGTAATTAGCACGTGTAGTTTGAGAGTTAGAGCTGAAAACGCCATAAACTTAACTGAAAAGGGGCGTTAAGGGGGCAAAAATGCGAAATAGCCCCCGAAACACCGTATGGATGTCACTGCAAGCTTCTCCATGAAAAATACAACCTATAACAATTGGAGAAATGTAATTAGCACGTGTAGGTTGGGAGTTAGAGCCGAAAACACCTAAACTTAGTCGAAAAAGAGCGTTCCGGGATCAAAAATTCAAAACAGCCCCTGAACCACCATGTGGCTGTCACGGATAGCTTTTCCTTGAAAAATAGGACTTTTGACAACAATCGGAATGTAATTCAGATCCGTAGGCTTGGAGTTAGATCCAAAAACGCCTTAAACTTAGTCGAAAAATGACGTTTCGGGGTCGAAAATTCAAAACAACCCCAGAACCACCGTGTGGCTATCACAGAAGCTTCCTCTTGACAAATAGGACTTTTGAAAACTGACAGAATGTAATTAGGATGCGTAGGGTTGGAGGTAGACCCAAAAATGCTTTAAACTTAGTCAAAAAAAGGACATTTTGCGGTCAAAAATTCAAAACAGTCCCCGAACCACCATCTGGCTCTCATGGGCAGCTTCCCCTTGACAAATAAGACTTGTGACAACTGACGGCATGTAATTCGGACCAATAGGTTGGGAGTTAGGGCCAAATACGCCTTAAACTTAGTTGAAAAAAGGCGTTCCACGGGTGAAAATCAAAACAGCCCCCGAACCACCGTGTGGCTCTCACGGACAGCTTCTCCATGACAAATAAGACCTGTGACAATAGATGGAATGTAATTCGGACCCGTAGGCTAGGAGTTATAGCCGAAAACGCCTTAAACTTAGTTGAAAAAGGGCGTTGCGGGGCCGAAAATTCAAAACAGCCCTCAAACCACCATGTGGCTCTCACGGACAGCTTCCCATTGACAAATATGACTTGTGACAACTGACGGAATGTAATTAGGAAGCGTAGGCTTGGAGTTGACCCGAAAATGCCTTAGTTTTTGAACACATAGTAAGTATAAATGCAAATGCACGAGTTCTTTTGATTTAGTTTTTGCAATTTCTAGTATATATGTGGTTCCCTTTTCAGAATGCTGTATCTAAGATGCCCCTATTAGGGCCATTATGTTTGATCTTAAAAGTTTTTCTGAAGCAAAGAGAGTTAAATGAGGTGTGGATTTATGTATTTTATTGTGATCAGTTTTACTGCTAAGAATCACACATGAAATAGAGGGTATTGGTCTTTTTTCCTGCTTCTCCATGGGCAGCAAAATCAAGCTTGACCTTGGCTTTCCTCTGCAAGGAAACTCTTTTGATGGCAAGCTTACTTTTGGTTACTTTTGGTATCACCAACCACAAGCCACCATCCTTCTTCTTTGGTTTTAGGATACCTTGGGGGCATCAACGGGTGCCACCTCTGTCCTACCCTCAAGATCCCATTCAAGGGTCACCTGCAAATTGGCATCATTCCTAGCCCTCACATTGTCGCCATCAACCATGTTAAAATTTACCATCACCTACCACACACTTACCATCACCTACCACACACTCACCTACTACACTCACCTACTCCTCACCTACCACCACCTACTCCACTACACCTACATCTATATAAGGAACCATTTGTAATAGACAGAGAGAAAAATACACATCAATCAATAATATACATCAATTTTTCTTACAAACCATATCATAGGTCATATGAATATTCGGTAAACGGTTGCAAACCCACGCAATATCCAACAATTGTGAATCTGACATTTGCAATAGCTCGCCTTTCATCGTCCTCCATCTCCACCAAATCAAACACTGTCTCTATACTCTTTCCAGGGTTCTCTTAGCCAAATCATTTGTGAAATTCAAAGGTTGAAGTATTAGCAATCAAAAGTTCAAGCATTGTCGCCATCAACCATATCATAGGTCATATGAATATTCGGGAAACGGTTGCAAACCCACACAATATCCAACAATTGTGAATCTGACATTTGCAATAGCTCGCCTTTCATCGTCCTCCATCTCCACCAAATCAAACACTGTCTCTATACTCTTTCCAGGGTTCTCTTAGCCAAATCATTTGTGAAATTCAAAGGTTCAAGTATTAGCAATCAAAAGTTCAAGGAGAGAGTGTAATGAAGAACCAATTTTTCAAATAATCCATCCCTGGCCCACTAAACAAAATAATAATAAAATAAAATATACATCTGATAACCTAACTTTGTATTGTGTTTAGATTATGACTATTAAAAAAAAAAAGCTTACCCACAACACAACATGTTTGTCTATTATATTCAAATTCTAATTAGAGCTTTGCTCTTGTATGAATCATGAATGAGTTCTGTTTGTTGGTTGTTGGGGGGTTGATCGAGGTTCCTGATTTGATGAATTATTTATAATAGCAGGACCTCATTTTAATCCATTCAAGAAGGATCACGAAACTCCTTCTGATAAAGAATGTCACGCCGGAAATTTAGGTAATATTGTTACTGGCCCAGATGGTGTGTGTTAAGTTTCTGTTATTCATTGCTGCTATTGATATTATTTGGAGTGGATTCATTTAATAGCCTATACTTGTGTTTCCATGTTTCCAGGGTTGCAGAGATGATGATTAAAGACATGCTCGTATATTAAGAGCAATTTTCTTCATTCCAAAATTGTTACTTTTTGTTTCATAATGATGACGAAAAGAAAGAGGATTTAATTGATGTCATATTCTGTTAATTTGATTATTGACCTACTGCACACAGTAAGGGATTAACTTGTTTCAATTGCTGGACGAAAAAATTGTAGTTTCAAATGCCATATAGAATACTATTTTAAATCTCTCATTTTTCAATGGTATGGAAAGCTTTGATTTGCTAGAATTATGTGTACACCTTGTTTTCAAAATTGTAGATTCCGCTAAGCGGGCAACATTCCATATTGGGGAGGGCAGTGGTTGTGCATGCAAATCCTGATGATCTTGGGAGAGATATGGCTCATTCTTTGCATCTTATGTCATATTACAATGCCTAAACTTGAAAGCAAAAGCAATACTTCCCAAGTATGTATATTTACTTGAGAGATTAACTGTGTGGGGAAATGTGGTACCAAGCACCTGTTATTCTTGGGTCAAAGAGCTAAAGATATTTGAAGTGGATTTTATTATTATTATTATTATTGTTATTATTATTTGTGGTCTTATCATGGAAGGGGATTTCAATGGGACATCAAAATGCATCAAATTGGTTGTACTTGGGAAATTTTAATTAGAGTGAAAGTACAGATCTATCTAGTAGGTGGGATATGTTGATAGAAACTGATACTTTAGCACAAGTAGAATTATATGAAAGGCACATAATAATTCAGATTCTTGCCAATATTATTAATCCTGTCCACAGCTTGCTTCAACTTCGTTTTTAAAGTAGTTCTGTTCTTGATACACCCCTGAAATGGTTGCAAATGATGCTAGTCTTCTGTGCCCTTTAGTATTTATGCAACAGTTCTTGAAATCTAAAGATAAGTTTAAAGAATATGGTGAGAAAAAAGTTGGGATATACATGTAGGTTCTAGCATTAGTGGACTTAATGTCAGTTGAAGTTCCTATTCTCTCAATCTTAAATTTCTCTCCTTGCTTTGCGATCTGATTTGGTAGCCTCATGTGCAAACAAAAATATTGTCTTCACTATCTTGACTTATTAATGAACGTTATTGGTTCATATCTTAGAAAAATAATATTTGAATGACTGAGAGGAAGGTTTGTGACTCCTAGAGGAGGCAACTATTGTTCTCTAGCCAGAAGAAATGGTTTTATGTCTTGGGAGACTGTGTTAGTGATACAATAGTGAATCAGATCTTTCAACCGAATTGCAACGTTTCCTTGGAGTTGGAGAGTAATTTGCTTATCTTTAGTATTGGCATCTTGTTTTCATAATTTGCTTATCAAATTACGAATGTTAGGATAAAGTTCTATTACAGTTACAAGGGGTGTGACATTATGCTTAAATGCTATACATGGAACCAATTGGTGTATTTTTATTTATTTATTTATTTTTTTGTAGATGGCTTTTGGCATGGAGTTGTGGATATTCCATTTTTGTGGACGGATGACAATTTACATTTTTGTAAACTCCTCCATTCTTGTCGTCCTCTACTTTTTGTGTACTTTTTCCTTCAAATAGATAATTTATCCCGTGATCTATTGATTGCCTTTTGTCGTGGTACATATTACCACGGTGTTTTGTACCTTGCCAATTGTCATTTGGCATAGTAGTAAATAAATTTTTGTATACGGAAGATGAAATTTCCCTATGATCATTTATGTTATGTATGGAATTATTATTTTAAGTTGGAATGTATTTGATTTGTATGGAATTATTGACATTTGAAGGTATTAATTTTTAAATGGTTGGAAGTGAAATGGATGTAGATTGTTGAATGGGTGATAATAAATGTATAAACCAGTTTGTATATATCATACAGGTTGCATGAAATATATACAGGTTGTGGGTGTGGACAAATTAAAAAATAAATAAATAAATAAAATAAAATGATGTTTTGGCGACTAAAAAATTGGTAGCCAAAAATAAAGTCAATATTTTTGCCGACTAAATAGTTAGTAGCTAAAAAAAAGAATTAAATGAAAACAAATCTTTGGTGTCTAAATATTTAGTAGCTATAACAAATAAGATTTTAGGCGACTAGTAATTTAGTAGCGAAAAAAAAGAAGAGGAAAAACACTTTTGGCAACCAAACTATTAGTAGCCAAAATAGGAAATATTGGACCTTAGGCGACGAAAGTGTTAGTAGTTAAGCAATTAGTGCTTTGACGACAAAAATATTAGTCGTTGAAAAATGCTTTTGGCGACTAAAATATTAGTAGCCAAACAGAAAATGTTAGACCTTAGGCGGCTAAAGTTTTAGTAGCCAAACAGTTTAGGTTTTGGCGACCAAAAATATTAGTCACTGAAAATGTCATGTTAAATTTAATTGAAACACTTTTGGCGACTAAATTATTAGTCGCCAATTGTGTGCTTTTAGCAACTAAAATTTTTTTAGTTGCCAATTACTGTCCCCGACCATCTTTCAATGACAAAGGTGACGACCAAAAATATTAGTCGGTGACCAAAATTGAACCTTTAGCGACTAAAAAGTTAGTCGCCAAATCTGTTTTTTGCTGTAGTGCTTGTTGCTGCTGAATCAAGAAACCACTGAGAATTGCTAGGAGGAGGTGCATTTGATGTTGAGGCAACATATGCTTTAGAGTGAGCCTGAGATAGAGAAGTAGATGGATGATTGGAAGAGGAAGATTGTGAATTCTGTGGATTTTGAAAAGAAGAATCCAATCTAATCTAGCAATCAAGAGTAGAGTGATTGACTTTTCCACAAATCTGACAGGTGACTGTGTGATTGGGACTGAACCTGTCTTTCTGAAATTGATTTCCGCTGGATATTGACCAGACTGAGTACCTCGAGACCTGTTTCCATCTCTGCGTTGTGAAGCCAAAAGGAACCTCTGCCTCGTTAAGAGCCTCTATGACCACCTCTATTGACGCAGGTACCTCTAGTTGCAGAATATGCAAAAGGAAGTTTAGAGGCATGTGTATGTTTGAGTGAGAATTCAATATGGATAGCTTCAGAACATAGCAGAGATGAAAGATTTTCCAATAAAAAAGGATCTGATCCAGCACGAAATGTGGTTTTGAGAGCATTATACTCTTTTGGTAAACCATTGAGGATAAGTAAGACTAGATCTTCATCATCTGCAGGTGAAGAGGCCAAAGCTAATTGATTTGAAATGATCTTGAACTGATTCAAGTAATCTTCCATTGTAAATCCTTTCTTAACAATATGACTTAGTTTATTTTTCAACTGATGGATATGAGATCTAGATAAAAGGTGAATCGTTTGGCAAGAACATTCCAAACCTCATGACTAGTCTGACAGTGAAGAACATATGTGAACATAGAAGGAGATAGAGTGGCAGTTATGCAACTCAAAAGATGAGCATCAGTTGTGATTTCTTAGGGGTTGTTTGGGGTGTCCTAAATAAGTGTACTTTTTGTCTTTTTGGACTAAAAATTTGAGGAAGAAAATATGAATGTTTTAGTTAACTTTTTGACTTTTTATGGAAAAATGTGTAATAAAAAATTATAAAAATTAATTTGTAGGGGAAAATTAAGATTGGGAGTTGTGCCGCCGTAATTGTTGGCTTTTGGTGAATAGTGTTAACTTTTTAACTTTTTGAGCAACTTTTTTCCTTTTTTGTAATATGCCAAACTTGGCCTAAATTGGATTCAGGACTTCGTGATTATTGGAATCAAGCATTGTAGGTGAGGGACATACCTCAGATCCATCAATCTATACAAGCAGATTTGTAGCTCTCAAGATATTTTGAAGCTAACTTTTCCATATGATGTAATTCGTTGAATCAAGTTTTGTTGCAACGAAGGCATTGAGATTTGAGATTAGGAGTGTGAGACTAGAAGGTAAAGTTGTAGAAGAAATAGAAGAAGCCATTGAAGAACGTCTGCGAAGCTTCTTCAATCCTTCAAGGATCGTTGCTCGCAAGGGCCGAGAAAGCTTTGATACCATAAAGGAAATTTGAATATATTTTTTCATTCAATACATTTTATATTGAAGCTAATCATAACAAAGTATTCATAACAACCTAACCTAACTATAACAAACTAATCTAACCTTGGTTTAATTCTAATAGCCTAACCACTTGAAACAATTATGCTAGTATTGTAGCCTTGGCTGATTTGCTACAACTGCGACTGGGACTGCAGCTCTGTGTGCTCTGGCTTATCAGCGGTGACATAATTATAGTGGTAGTGGTGGTGGTAGCAATAATGATGATAGTGGTAGTGATAGCTATGGCATGATGGTGTTGGTTGTGGTGGCAGTGGCGTGGTGGTGGTGGTGGTGGTAGTAGTGGTCGCGGTAGTGATGGTGGTGGTAGTGATCACGATAGTGATGGTGGTGGTGGTAGTAGTGTCAGTGGCATAATGTTGGTGGTGGTAGGTTTGTAATAGTGTACATCAATGCTTATATTTAGTATTTATAAATTTAGTCAGAATTAATTAAGTTTCATTGTGACTTAAATTTTTCTTAAATTTTAACTTATATTTTAAGAGATACTTAAAATTACAAGTGATATATCAATTGTAGTTATTAAACAGGACTAAATTATCAATTAATATATTCAGTTTTAAGTACTAAATCAAATTATCAAACATTCTATTAATCTACAAATGAAGGTTTTACGGTTTAATAAGACAAAAAATGCAACCACTTCACAATTACTCAAGTTATTGAATTTGGAATGCTACTTCCACCAATTTTGGACCCCTAATACCAATTCCTAATGACATGGCAAGTACTTACTGAATAATTTTTATATTTTAGTAGCATTTTCAAATGATATGATTTATGACACGTCGCTAATGGATGGTTTGGGAGTCTAAACTTAGGAATACAAAATATTTTCTAATAAAATATCTTAGGTATTTTGTGTTTAAAATTCTGACCCTACAATAATTTGTATACCATTTATATCATTCTCACCTATATCGTTCCTTTACCAAAAACTTTCTCGCTTTTCATGCTTTTTCAATATATATATATAAAGTTAAAAAATTCATAATTTCCGTATTGTATTCATTTTTGTGCGATAATAGCTTGAGAATTCAAAAGTAATTTTTTAAAGTTCCTAAAAATTGACTTATTTAAAAAATAAATAAATAAATAAAATTTCCAAGAACAATCTAACAGAAACATTACCAAATGACCCTTAGCTAACGAAATGTCAAAACACTTTTGGCAAATAGCAAGATTACCCAACAACTAAGATGTTGTGATTTCCTCAAAAATAAATAAATAAATAAATAAATAAAATAAAATAAAATAAAAAAAAATAAAAAGAAGTTGTCGTGATGCTATATCCCATGTCACAAACCAACTAACTTCTAATTTTCTTTGGTCATATGTTTATGTATTTTATTCTCTGACGGACTTTTGTGCACCAAAAGGATCATCACATAGAAAACCATGACCTTCCTACTTTTTTGAAACATTCATTCCAATACTTCTTTGAATCATATGGTAGAGTCTGTTGATTGAATTTGTGCTTTATAAAAAAAATAAATAATAAAAAAATTTCAATATGTAATAGTGACAACAAACCAGCGAATTTGGACGGGTCAAATCAAACAAGTTATGTATTAAAAAATCTAATCTAAACTAGTTCATTTAGGTAACGGGTTTAAGTAAATTAGGTTAAACCAACTGTTTTACTTTATTGAATTCTTTTTTCAATGAATGGTAGAGGTGGAGGCAGCGTTAGTGGTGGTGGTGGTGAGTGTTAAGGAATCCATAACACCTGACCCGGAGAGACATGAAATACATAAAAGAACAAATGTATAAGAATTACATAATTGTCATCTATATTTTTCTTTACATAGGATTAATAATTAGATTAGATACAGAAAACTTGACTATTGAAATGCCCTTGACAATAATATCTAGTGGGTGGGAGCTGCTATTTGCATACCACAAAAACTCTTATCCCACACAATTTTTCAATTTTTTTAATTACCAATTTGCCACTCAAGAAAATTACCAAAGAGGCCAAATATTCATCCATTCAAACCCAGCCAAAGCCCGTGCCGGCGACACCATCTCCAATCCTTGCAGCACTTCCCCACTGTTGTCCTTTTCCCTCACCACTGCCAACCTTCGACCACTACTACAACCCTCTTCTGCAGCCATGTAGACACCCCATTTTTGACCGACCTTGAGACTCAGACGTCACCAGTTGAGCACTCGGTGATATTGCATATTGTGCTTGCTCAGAAGTTTCAGAGTCTCGGTTGCGAGCCTTGCCTCCGGACTCTTTTGTGCTTTGCCTCGGTTTACGAACCAGGCTCTGTTTTCTTTGTTTTCTCTTCCCAAAGGGAGGGAGAGGTCCCGCAGATCATCTCTCAGTGGCCGTAGGCTACGTTTCGTGGTCGTAGGCCATTTTTGCCCGTTTGGAGTCCGGTTCCCAGTTTTTCGGAATCGTTGGCCGTGTGCCTCGGTTTGGGACCGCTTAACCATCTCCATTTGCTTCGGTTTTTGGCATACTTCTTATTTGCTCCCTTTTGAGGGACACTGTGTTCTAAGAGACCGACTTCGTGGTCGAACACCACTCCTGGTGCCTAGCAGCCAGTTTTCGGGGCCTCGGGCTGCGCGTTTCGGCCCCCGAACCTTCATTCTGCATCGATTTGAGTTCATTTTTGGCAAGGACCTCTGTTTCATTGGTAAGAAGGCCGTAGAAGGGTGGGAGGCCAGTAATTGTTCTGTCAGCCAACTTTATCCCTTCATCGCCCTCCGTCGCCCCCACCGACCACCACCAGCTACCAC